TATGTGTGTGTGTGTGTGTGTGTGTGTGTGTGTGTGTTAAAATATTTTTTTTTATTTCTTGTCTAGTTTTTTACGTTTATGTGGTTAAATTCTGACTGAAATGAAGATAAATTAAGATTGTATCATCTAAAAATGAATATAGCCCAGATGTCTTTTTTTCTCTTTACTTTTCCCACTTCTTAACAGGGTGTTTTTTTTTAAACATTACTTGAGATACAGTAAATGTAAACTGAAATAAAATATAACAAAACGTACTTTATTTCAGCTACTTAATTTTTTAGCATTTCTTATTTTCAGTGTGTTTAACCTAATAAAATATCTAAAACTAAACAAAAAATTCATACAAACTACATAGACATATTTAAAACAAAAACTGATATAAATGATAAAAACTTTTAAAATGTTAACTAAAATTAAAATGAAAACGTAATAGTATCTCAGTTATGCTAAAAAAAAATACTGCGTCTTACGGCAAACGATAGTCTTGAATTTGTTTTCCTCTGTTTGGCCACACAGTTCGATCTCCACAAAGGGACTGGCAATGCTTCGTCCTGGTTTGGGAAGATGTCTTGCTCCTATCACCTGAGTATCCGAAAAACCATCAACAATCTTTTCAATTAATTTAATTTAATTTAAAAAAAAAACAGTTCTTGTTCAGCTCTCAAACTCAACCTAAATAAATGTTCTGTTTGAATAAAGCTCATAAAGTTGAATGAATAAAGTTTTACCCTAATGGTGATAGTAAATCTGATATTCTTCTTCTCCTGATGAGGGTCATACGAATCGCTGCGCATCAGCTCAGGCTGCAGTACATATCCTGTGCCTCCATTCAGACTGAAGAGGGCGCTGTTCAGCTGCATGTACTTATCTGAGGAGAAACGCAAACACAAAACGATTAGTCGCATCCAAAATAAAAGTTTTTGTTTATGTAATATATGTGTGTGTACTGTGTATATTTATCATGTATATATAAATACACACACATGCACATATATATTTAAATGTGTTGTTTATATACTAAATATATTTATATATAATATAAATTATATGAATATACATATATACATGTAAATACAGGTAAATATTTTCAAAATATATACTGTATATGTGTGTATTTGCATATACATAATAAATATACACAGTACACACATATATATTATGTAAACAAAAACTTTTATTTTGGATGTGATTAATCGCGATTAATCGTTTGACCGCACTAGTTATTATACATATGGAATAAATGCTATGCTATTTATTTATTGATCATTTTTCTCTGTAATGTTTTCTTTTCCTTACACTCACAGTTTAAACCCATGTTATTTCCTTTATTACATATTTGTCTTTAAATAATGTCTTATTTTCTTTTTACATTAACATTAAATTTTTTTATGTTTCTTGCCTCCTTCTAATACTCTACCCCTTTATACAAACTTGTATACATGTATAATAATTGTATATATGCATTGTGTATTTCTATAAAACATTGACTTTGATTGAGTACATCTCCTCACTTCCTTGTTTACTATTTTGAGTCAAAGTTTGGCAATTTTCCCCTGCTGGTAGATGGTATAATCACGCCATTATGTTGCCAAAAAGCATTGAAAGAAATTCATAAGTAGCTGTTTATTTTGACTAAATGAATTTAATGTGAAGTTTATTATGGCCTGTTACATGTCATATACTTCCAGTGCAGTCATAAGTTAGCTAAACAAGCACCACTTAGATAAGTGGGAATGTTAATGGATAGCTTTGTCCATGAGATGTTTAACTTCATACTCACCAGCGGTTTGGAAGTTGAGTGCCACCATGTGGCAGCCGCACATCCACAGAGGATACGGATCATAGTTGGAGGAATCCACCCGCTGGCCCTTAGGGTAGACGCGGCTGAGCGCCTTGCGGTTATACAACATAAATTGAGTCGACTTGTTTCTGGAGGGAATCTTATTTTCTACGAAGGAGCGAACCTCTTTGTAGGTATAATTATCTGATAGGGAAAGACAATCACATTGTTCATTTTCATTGACTTCATATATGTCATTGTATATATATGTTTCTGTTTTTGACAGATGTTTTTGACAGATTTTCTCTTATGCTCACCAAGCAAATATTTGACCAAAAATAGGGAAAAACAGTAATGTTGTAAAATATTACTAACATTTAAAATTGTTTTTAATGTTTTTTTAAATATATATTTTATTTTTTTATACATTTTAAATATAATTTAATAATATTTTAATATATTTTAAAATGTAATTTATTCCTATGATAGCAAAGCTGAATTTTTCAGTATCATTAATCCAGTCTTCAGTGTGACGCGATCCTTCAGAAATCATTAATGATGTGCTGATTTGGTCAAGAAACTTATTTCTTATTATTGTTGTTCAACAATGTTGAAAACAGTTGTGCTGCTTAATATTTTTGTGCAAGCTGTGTTTTTCCAGGAATCTTTGATGAAAAGAAAGTTCAAAAGAACAGTATTTATTTGAAAAACAACATTTTTAATGTTTTTACAGTCACTTTTGATCAGTTTAATGCATCCTTGGTGAATAAAAGTATTCATTTCTTTTTTGAATGGTAGTGTATATGTAAATATGTATACATTCATATTTAATGAGCCATACCAAAGCGGTCCTTGTCTTTGCTGCGAGGCTGGCAATAAACGACGTGTTCAGACATCTCGCTGGCCACCTCGTCCCTGCTCTCAACCTCCCTTTGCTTTTGTTTCTGCAACAGAAATTTATTGTAAACATTTATAAACACCAGCCCAAAATTATACTTGAAATACTTGACTGTATACTTAAAATGTCAATGGTTAAATGTGCTTCTAGGGCTATGCCTAGCATTTAAACACCCCCTCAATCTGTCTGGCTTCAACTATATTTACATGACGAGTGACTCAAAACCTTGTGAGAACTTCCCTGTGTGACAACTAGCCCCAGTCTGCCCTATTCAGGACCAGTAAACAGAGCGTGTGAGACAGACCTCAAACTCTCGGTTTTCTTCTCTCTGTGTGATGTCCCAAGCCACCTGATACCACTCGTACAGCTCCTCGGTGGTCTCAGTGGCCAAATCAAACGGCATGTCTTTATTCTCCTTATCCTGCAGTGTCACCACCACAGGCCTGCTGTGTTTGGCTGAACGAACTGGAAATGATGAAAAGAGTGCAAAATACCATTACAAAAACATGTAATGTACAGGTGCCCAGGTGACTCAGAAGATAAATAATCTTACCAACAGTACACTTCGAGATGTCCACTATTCCTTTACATAAGTCACCCAATGGATTTTCCTCATCGCCCTGAAAGAGAACATCTAATCTTAAAGACATTCTATGTTTTGAATATAGATATTCTCTATGTATTTACGCAAATAGGCATGCAAAATAATGTACTTACTAGCACTAAATTACTTATCTGTGATGTCAAATATGCAAATTTGTAATATTCTTTACCTGGTAACCTGCCTCAGATGCATTGGCAACTTCTTCTACATAATTTGAAGGGAAATATTGCTGCAGTTTTCCACCATAGTCTCCTTTCCACCTGTTGGGATTGGGAATATTAAATGTTGGTTAACATCAAATTTAAGCAATTAAAATCACACTGTGTTTTTTTAAATACCCGATAGTGTCATAAGAGAGTGAAATGACATGAATAAGACAATCTTTCCTGATAAACATATGTTAATACAACTATATACCACAAAGCTACATTAACAGAAACGGCAACATGGACAACCTACCATGATAATACCATGATTACAGCTATGTTTTATGGACATGAGCCATGGTAAAATTATAGTATTCTTTGAAATACACTTCCATTCAGAAATCTAGGGTCAGTGATATTTTTTTGTTACTACTTTTATTCAGCAACAACACATTAAACTGATCAAAAGTGACAGTAAAGACATTTTTAAAGTCTATTTCAAATAAACAATGTTCTTTTTAACTTTATATTCACCAAAGAAACTTGAAAAATGTATTAAGCAGCACAACTGTTCTCAACATTGATAATAAGAAATGTTTCTTGAGCAGCAAATCGTCATATTAGAATGATTTCTGGGGGATCATATGACACTGAAGATTGGAGTAATGGCTGCTGAAAATTCAGCTTTGCATCACAGGAATAAATTACATTTTAAAATATATTCAAATGGGAAATAGTTATTTCAAATTGTAATAATATCTCACAATATTCCTGTTTTTACTGTATTTTTCTAATCAAAAAAATGAACAAAATACTCTTTTAAAAAAAAAAAAAAAAAAACTTACTGACCCCCACCTCCTGAACAGTAGTGTACCTTGGAGTGCTACTGTATGTAAATACTGAGGTAAATTTATATGGTAATCTTCCAGTACCATGGTATTTACCAAATTAGCTTAGTATAATCATCTGATACTCTCACTGTACCATGGCACTGCCACAGCTTTTTTTACAAGCCTAAACAGTGCATTTATTGCTTATTATCTACAAAATTTGCAAATAATCTCACCATCCGTTTGCCTCCTTGGTCACATTATGGATCAAAGTGCCCTTGTAAAAGGTGAGTTCATCCGGCCGCATGGCCCTGTAGTCATAGAGGGCCATCACTGTTCTATGGGGCTGCAACACAGCAAAATGAATTTAATCTTGCTACAAATCTGCAACAGTATTGAGGCAACCCACACAAGCCTTCAGCAGTTCACTAAAATACATTTTCCTTAAAGGGAATTTGTGAATTACGTTCGAGCTAGAAACATGAAGCACATATGGCATACAAACTAAAACCTGACATTGCTCTTTTAGCCAAGCTGCATTTCCTCTTTCGAGTCGATCAGTTTCCTATGTTAGAGAAAGAGATAGCCAGCGCCACCACTTCCTCCCCAGCCCACAGGAGATGACCTCTTGCGCATGCTAACTCACAAGAGCTGTGTTTGCACTTCAAAGTGCTTACCAGAGACGGCTCTATCTCATTGGCCTCCACGTACTGTTTAGAATCATAAAGTGAAGCAGATATGGTTATCTGAAAAGAAAGACATAAAACATTTTTTAGACTTTTCTCCCTGCACATTAAACATTAACCAAGCTAAATCTATACATTTTAAATAATTTGTCTGCTAGGTGAACATTAAGTATTCTATATCAGTGGTTAAGTGACAGTAAAGACATTTATAATGTTACAAAAACAGTTTCCACAGAAATATTAAGGAGCACAACTGTTTTCAACATTCATATGATAAAAGATGCTTCTTGAGCACCAAATCAGGATATCAAAATTTCTGAATTTCTGATTCAAGATTTCTGAAGGATCATGTGACACTGAAGACTGGAGTAATGGCTGCTAAGATTTCAGCTTTTCCATCACAGAAATAAGTAATGTTAAAAATATATATATATATATTAAAATAGAAAACAGTTACTTTAAAATGTATAAATATTTCACAATATTACTGTTTTATAGTTTGTTTTTAAATCAAATACATGTTGTCTTTGTGCACATAAGTCACTTTTCAAAATTAGGGGAGTAACGTGAATTTAGGTTAGTCGCTCTTTCAGGCTGTGACAGCAGGAAAAATGTGCTTTGTGGTGGGAGGATGCATAAACATGTAATACTAGCCACAGAAAGAGGGCAAAAAACATTAGCATAGCCTCAGGAAGTGAAAAAAATTCTAATTAAAAAGACTTTTTTTTATATATTATATGTCTTACTAAACATTTATACCATACAATGACACTTAAGTGCATATTATACTTCTGCTAAATCAGAACTTTTGGCCTGAACTTTGATTGGAAAAAGGAGAAGAGACCAAGAGAGCTACTAAGCTAGCAAGTGTAACATGCAAACTGTGGCCTTAGCAAAGGAAGAGGTGTACTTGCCCTTGTTCACTTTGAAGAGTGTATACAGATGCTGCACGCAAAGACAAACTGTTGTACAATCATTGCACAGTGTTCAGTACAGCCCACAACTGACAACGTTTTAAGTGAACTCTAGAAAACAATTATCTTGCCTGCTCTGCACCAAAATAGATTTATTATGTTGCTTTATTACTTACTGAACTGAAGCGTTCCACCAGATCTGGTGTGACCGGGTAGCGCAGTTTGATCTTCCGATACAGTGGTTTCTTTCGGAAATAGTCCACCAATTCCAGCAGGCTCTCAAATTCGCTGGAGGTGCCGAGCACGTACATAGATCCATCTTTGTTTATCCGGCAGTGCTTCACCATCCCTTCACCTCTGTTTCAGCAAAAATAAAAAATAAATCCATGAATTGCAGTAATTATTACATTAAATAACAAAAACAGTAAAAGCCAACAACAACAAAAAATTCTAGAAAATACATAACAT